CACACCCATCACCACCACTGTTGACTCACAACAGGAACTTCTAAAGGGTTCACAAGTTTCAAGCATGTACGCCCAAAATTTATTGATATTGGTAACTTGTAATATTTATGACCTCTTAATGAGTTCTTTATTTGCACTGACGGGCTGAGGATGGGCACAGTGCTGTCCAGTCCAAATGTGTCTGTAAATGAAGAATCTCTGAGAGTTGTAAAGATAAACATAACCTCATAAAGGTCACATCAGCTATGTCGGTCAAAGCAAGAATGCAGCCTACCTCTCTCCGTTTGGACTCTTGAACAAACTATGTTCTCTTCAGAACTACCTCAGCAATGAAAGATGTGTCAATCTCAGGATTATTAAGTTAATTATGCACTTTGACTTACAGTCAATTTGTGGTCTTACTAACTTGTCATACTGATTGCGATTTCCTTTTTTATTTGTATGTTATTGCATTCATAAGGTTTGCTAACCTTTTGTTAGGCAGAGAGAGTTCCTGTTGGTCTGCTGGTCTTGTGAATTTAGTGAAAGTTTGGAATGCTGAGTGTTGTCAGTTGAGAGTAGCAAGACCCAAGTGGTGACCACAAATTGTCAATAAATAGCATTATCTCATAACACTGGAATACTCATCATTTGGAGCTACAGTCTGAACATCACTCAATCATTTCCATCAGGTGTCTGATTCACATTTTTGTTTCCTTGTGCCCAAACCTTATGAAAGGAAGGTCTTTTCAGATGTAAGAATTCATTTGTCATGCTTATGCCTGTATCTAACAAAACACAAGATTAGAAAATTGAAGACATTTGCAAGTATTGCCAATACTGTTTGCTGTAATCAAGTAAATTTCAGAATCAATTTTGGCACAGTTTTTGTTTGTTTATGAACACACTGGTCGGTTCTGAAACAGTTATGTTGTTAATGATTGCAGAAATCATTCATGAAATGACATGAGTGAAGAATTTTAGAAATAGCTGTGATAACTGTTGTGAGAGTATGATATTTCCCAAGTAAAGATATTTATCATGAAATTATGAGGTAGATCAGTAAAATGGAGTTTTATGTTACTGTGCTACCTTGTATGTTTAAGACCTTTGGCAAGTATGTATTAACATAATTCGAAAGTATCCTCGTATGATCTTAAAGCATTTTGGATATTGCCTATGCAAGTATTTTAGTGTGAAATGTTAGTATGAGTAGTATCTTCTGTTGCATGAAGCAGTGCTTTCTCCTTGTGCTCTACCAGGCCATATAGGAGAATGGTCCTTGAATTGTGGGGAATGTAAGGATAGTGTTCCCGCTCTCTCAGGCACAGCGAAACACAATGGTGTTTGCTCAGCCAGATTTAATGATTAAGTTTCTGTTGAAAAGATAAGGTTTCTAATTTGTTTGCAGTAAGAAAGATAGACATAATCTGGCAGGCAGCAGCAAGACTTCAGTGCTGACCTGGTTACCTCTGGGCCTGTCTGCCAGCTATGCAGTGACGGTGCCACATAACACTGCATTATCCCAAATTACTGAAGATATCATACTGTTTATTAAACCTAATTGATCTTATTCTAAGCATTCATTCTCATGTTTTTATACACCTGTGCATTAATTAAGCACCACCCAATTTTGAAAATAAGATGTGATGCTACAGATAAGTTAGGGTATAGCCATCAATTTAATCAACCCATTCACAATAAATAACAAATTTATAGGCCACACAACAATCAATTATTACTTTGACTTTTCAAAATAAGGTAACTTGTTTTAGGACAGAAAAACACCTGTTTTAAATATAGGCAATTATCTTAATAAAATACATGGTAATTTCAATGATGTTTTCGTTTTTGAAATGCTGCATTTAAACCAAATTCACAATATATGCATTTGCAATATAATTTACTTGACAGTTTACAATATTTAGCTTGGTTTGATAACTTTGCCGGTGCTCATTTATAGAAAGGTATTTATGGCTGGCTGCATGGCTCCCCAACCCCCACCCGAAAATTCAACTTTAAGGCTCACTCTTAGTCTTAGATAAGGATGAGTTTTAACGTGTTTCGTTAATTGTATCTGAACATACTGAAAGACATATTCTACATGGATTTACAGGACGCGAATTCCTGCGTCCTATACGCATAAAAATTGACAATGGACGCAACCAAATTTATGAGCGCGTCCACAGGGACTCAGAAAAAATCCAAATACTTTTTGTAAAAATTCCAATCAAGTGACAATACGTTATCACTGAGTTTGCTACTAGCTAGGTTATGGTATTATTTGCAATTTAATGTAACAGTGTGATGATCATGATACACAATACAATAACAGTATTAATAATAATATTTAAGTGTTGTCCAGGACCCCTGAAAATTAAGAGTATGAGTCCCAGGGACCTTCAAATACAGGACCTTCAAATATAAATCCCTGATTCTACTTCTTAAATTGCCACTCAGAGAAAGTTTTCCTCGCCGTTAAAATTTAGGGAGTACAGCTATCCTTGTGAACAAGCATTTGTATGTACAAGCATTTGCTGTTGAATGTATATTATTATGTAGATAGACCAGTTCATGATATGACTTGCACTGTTCACAGCACTTAGTCATAGCCCTGTATTGTTGATCGGACGACTTGGATCCTTATCAGGTTTCTTTAAGACAGCATTTATACAGTAGATAAGATATACATGTCCTGTTCACAGCAAAGCTTGGCTGAATTAGTTGCTTGTCTTTGAATTGAGTAGTCATTGATTATAGTTATTTATGAACTAATCTGTTCATTTGGCAGAGATATTGTGCATAAACCTTTGAAAAGAATAAGAATGACTTTTACAGTTTGTAATAATGTTGACAGTAATGATCTGGAACAGACTGTACAATGACAACCATCACAGTTACAACCCAATTTGTATCATTTGTATGCGAATATACATTATTACAGCATCCAGGTGAGGTCTGCTCATGCATTGATGAATGAGCTTTCTGCACTGCTGTTTTGATTCAGACTGATTGTAGGCGGTTAAACCAACCAAGCTGAAATAAAGTTTTGTAGGTCAGACATGAATTTTATCATGCATTATGCTTCAGTAATAGGATCGTCTCTTAATCTTGTTGCATTAGAGTACTTGGTAGATACGGTTGCTTTGTATGGGATCAGTAAATGCAAAGTATTATCCATAACCAACTGGAGTTTCTATTTAGTCATCATAGCAGCATAGTGTAGTTAACAAAATGAAGTGCAGCGCGTTAAGCTGTTGAGTGCCTTGCATTCTGGTGAGACCAGGAAGGTTGTGTACACTGTGGCATTCGCATGATTAAGTAAAAGGAAAGTCAAACTACACTGGCAAGTGATCACATCCTGCTGATAAATAAATGTGGTAGGCTGCCCTTCAATTTGAGTTCATATTTTATGCTGCTTACTACCTTCTTTGTTGTACTTGCCATGTGCTGTTAGTGTTACAGTGATCTTAGAATGAAGAAGTGTAGATGAGTCATAGGTTGTTCATGCAACTTGTGTCAGCAAGCGTTCTGAGCCAGGTAGCACACAATCACCAGTGTCCTTCCCCTAGTATACTTTCAAACCATCTACAGCATCGGGTTGATTATTTATTACCAGGCACAAGTTGCATGCAGGGTGTCATTGATTCCTGTGTATCTGGTCCACTTTTATGGCTATAGATTTTTCTCAGCTTATAATAATGAGATTTAGCTTTGTGCTCTTGAGGGGCCTGGAGTGTCAAGCTTGACATCACATTTGTGTTAGCAGTTATAGGAAGAACCTGATGATATTATTTCTTCACATACATGCTTGCTCAGATGTCCTGTTGTTAACCCTCTGGATGCCGAGGTTTTTTTTCAGGCGCACATTTTCATAAGGTTTGAAAAGTGAACGTTGTGTGAGAATTGTCTTTTGTTTCGTTTCGTTTCATCTAGACAGTTAGTATTGGTCACAAAGACCATTTGTAATTTAATTCTAAAATGTATGGGGAATTCAGTGATGCGCTTGTCGCAGCTGAATATGAAACATAAGTGATGTCATATGCGTCTCAATACCGGCCTTCGCGAAACGTGATTTTGTAAACACTATCCAATATGCTGGAAAGAGCACTTCAGCGTTCGTGTTAGTGTATTTTCGAAAACATCCCAACTGATTTCTAAGGTCATCAGCAACCTTTCAGAATAGTCATTAGTGGTTTAATGAAAAACTGATATCAGTGATCATTAATATGCTATTTTTGAAATTCAATCATCCCAGTAATTATTCGATTTTCACATTTCAAAACATACAGCAAATAACACTGTAATCGCGATTTTGTATTGTGTCAAAAATTGTTACATTTACGATGAAGCCTGGTTTGAAAGGTCTTTTACAGCACTTAAGCATTGTCTGAGATAATAGTGGATGGTATCAAGAAACGGGATTCCCCGCAGAATTCAAAACTGTGAAGTATATTTGTGTGCGTGATATATTTAGAATTTTATTGGACGTCAAAGTGAGGGTTGAGGAGGAAGGACATATGTCCCTGGGGCACCCAGGGGTTAACACTGGTGTTGTTACTGTCTCACACATTATTTGCGTTTTAAATGTAAGCTGGAAGTCAAAAAGGATACTTGTTACAGCCATGTTGTTTGAATGTTAATGAATAGATTATAAAATACAGTATAATGTATTCAGGGGTGTAAATAACTTTTAAATTGCTAGTGTACTCCGGTACAGTGGCACATGTAAAATCACTTGCCCTGATAATTTTTCCACTATACCAGCCGATTTTCTTGTTGATTTTTTAATTAAGCAACATAATTAACTTTGGAAAGTCAACTGGACACCGATACAGCATCATATACAAATTTGCTTGCCCGACAGAAAAAAACACTGGACTAGGATGTGGGGCAATGGGTTATTCCTGAATAATAAAGACAAAATCATACTTAGTCTTCAATATAGTTGTCAAACTGACTAGTTGTTTCTGCTAGCTTAGTGAGTGCAGCATGTGGCTAAATGTCAGGTTATCTTGTAGATGGAACAAGAGGTGAGCGGCACCACCAGAAAGATCACACTGCTGGAGGAAGACCTGGAGAGGAATGAGGAGAGGCTTCAGACTGCCACAGAGAGACTCGAGGAGGCATCCAAAGCTGCAGATGAGAGTGAGAGGTCAGTCACCAGCAATGTAGTTGGTATGCTAAGGTTGGGTATCGGTGGCTGTTTTGAGACACCAGACTGCATCCAAAGCTACAGATGAGAATATGGGGCTGAGATATGGGTGGACTGGTGAGGGTACCTCTGCGTACACTGCCTGATATATATGTCAAGGCTGCTAGTTCATATGTCGGCCATAAGGTGACAACTGTTGTCGTTTTCAAAACAGTAGGGCTGTGTATTGGCAAATAAATTGTATTGCAATATATTGTGATTCAGGTACCTGTATTGCGATATGTATTGCAATATATTGGGAACTTTAGTTATTGACAGTGAGTGACACTAATTGTTCATGTCAATCCTATTTTCTACATTATAAGTCGCTAAACATACATGGTTATGGTTCTGATAACAGCGATCTCAAACTTAGGTTGCATAGTCAGGGATTCTATTTTCCTTTTTATACAATTTATAGTATTACAGTATGCTGTTTTGTCATTGAATAACACAGGAAAACATGTTGTGAATGTAAGTATGTGTAGATTTTAATTTAAACCATAAAGATAATCACAAAAATTCATATGTTCTTTACCCAATATACCGGTTCTCAGAAAAAATATTGCAATACATATCGTTTGAAAAGCGTGTTGTGATATACCAGTAACACCATGCAGTCCTACTAAACAATTGGAAAGGAAAGGTGGGTTATTGTTAAGTTATTTTTAATATATGTTGTTGTTGTTGTTTTATTGACAGAAAGTGGTTAGTTATTTCTCCCAAAAATGTCCTCTGTCATTAAGCATGTGCAGACTATAGAACAACAGAGCAAAAACAAATCCAGATGGCAAATGAAAATTCAGCAAAAGGTAGCTTACAAATGTGGGTATCAATCTGACTACATTCATATATTCCTTATTTCTTCTTCTCAGTTTTTATGAATATCAGGAGCTTTATGTAGAATGCCACCCTGTTAATCAACTCCTGGATGTCAACTTACTAATGTTGAGAATATGTTTATCTTAAAGAGGACATTTCTGTGAGTTCATATTTTGCTGATCAGAAATCTGTTTAATCTGGAACATGGCCCAGTAAGCCTTTGTTTGACAGGAATTAATTATATATTAAATTCATCTATTTTTCCTTTCAGCATGTTCATTGTTTTCATGTATATCTATGAATAAAACCATAAGCATTTATTAGATGACTGATATCCACGAGTCTCCTTGAAGAATGGCTGTACCCCCAAAAAGATGTCTGCAGACTTGTTGGTCAATAGTTAACTGGTTTTCTCAGGCAATCTTGATTGAATGGCAAGGCAAAAATAATAATATACAGATTGGTGGTAATTTTCAATTTGTGGAGGGTGTTGGTAGCAACAAAGGTAGATGTGCTGTTGCTTTGACCTTTCATGGTGTCAGTATTGACCTGTCACTGTTTACATGTCATCATCTTATCGCCAGTCAAACACCCATTCTCTCTCCTCAGACAAATCTTGAAAGAATTCCTTATTTTGACTTGTGTACATATTCGTCGTTGGCATTCAGTGACTGAATCACCCCTCCAGCAAGCCAGTTAATGTGCAAACACCCAATAGCCTATGTTTGTGTGTAGTGATGAGAAGTGCTCCTGCCTACTGCATCATTCAGCATTCTGTTGATAACAACACGTTCAAGCAACAACTGTTAAAATTCATTTTCATGGATTTAGTAGGACTATGATGAGGTGCAGCATTAAGCCTATTCAAACAAATTTTGTACAGACTCCTGGATGTCAAGTTGTCCGTTTTAATGATCTTTTTTATTGGCATGTATCTGTTCGCATGTCGAGACAGTTTGAAACTACAGCATAAAACTTATGTGTTTCATAGCTGCTGTTATTTGTTTATATTGTTTGGGTTTATACACACACAAAAGAACACTCAAGTGTTTTCGGACATGTTTCACTCATATTATGAGGGAATAGAGAATAGCCCTCATGTCCCTGACGAATTAAATGAAACATGTTGAGCACATTTCTTGACTATACTTGACCTACACTTGTGTGAAAAAATGTATTTATTATTTCTTCAGTAAACTTCACATAAGGCAACAAGTTGTATCATTAAAATAATAGCATTCCACATATACCAAGGGTAAGCTTGCTTCAACCGTCCTGTTTGAAATATTGTGAGCTCTGCTGCTTGTGAATCCCAAAAGACAAGAAATCAATGCTTGTGAAGCAGCAGTGATCAGTCAGTCGTTCAGATTGGAAATACTCGCCAGCCTGCTAATCAGTACATAAGTTGTATTATAAAAAAAATTGTGCGGGAAGGAGCCTCAGTTGATTGAGCATGAGATTTGCATGGTGTGTTGTGATGTCTTCTACAGGGCTAGGCGGAGTTTAGAAAGTAAACTGTTTGCAACTGAGGAACGAGCTGAAGCATTTGAGGAACAGTTGAAGACTGCTCAGATAGTGGCCCAGGAGGCTGAGATGAAATATGACGAGGTAGGTTGGCCATGTACGACTAACTCCTTATTTCTTCAGCTTTTCAGGTTGCAGATAGGACACAGGCAATGCATGTCTGGCTTGCTAAGCCTTGTGTTCAATATTGTCTTGCTATTGTACTCACAGATGGGGTCATTTATGCAAGTTCAGGATTTATGGTCACAAAGAGAAATGATGAAAAGCTGGTACAACGGAACTTATATCTTACTGTAGCAACATTATGAGACTATATACTTCTTTGAAAAAGGTATTGTGAGTTAACAATTGCAGGAATGCAGTATTAGCACAATGGTTGCTTCATTGGTTGATTATTTTAATACTAATTGACTTTTTTTTTCAGCAGTTTGTAGGTGGTGCAGAGAAAGAGGAGTGTAGGGATTTGTTCACCCTGTTATGACCATGTAGTAACCCTGTCTTCCCACAGAGGGCGCAAAGTGCTTGAGAGCAGGAGTCTTGCTGATGATGAAAGGATAGATCAGTTGGAAGCTCAACTTAAAGAGGCTAAATACATTGCAGAAGATGCTGAGCGCAAATACGATGAGGTGATTCTCGTGTCTGCCAACAGATGTCACTACATGAAATTCTACGGCATGACTCGTGCTAACATCCCTCATTGTACAAAAGCGCTTAACAATGTCTTACAATGGTCAAATGATCTCTTTTTCAACCAGCTATCTTACTTTGTGTTTTATAAATTCGTCATTTAGTGTTAAATGAAAAAATACTATTCTATACTGGTTTGAGGGAGAGATCAGACTGTAGTATTAATACAGTATTAATATTTTTGTTTCTTCATCTTTGATAACAGCAAGTTGAGAAGTTATACTAAACCTAAACTGCGCGTTGGTGCTTGTTGTGGTATCTAACCCACTGACCTGACGATCTGTCTATTACACCACTAGAGCACGTAAGGTACTGGAAAACAGGAGCCAGTCAGATGAGGAGCGAATCGAGTTCCTTGAGAAACAGTTAGATGAAGCCAAATGGATTGCTGAAGATGCAGATCGTAAATATGATGAGGTGACAATCTCAAAGTACACCCATCCAACTGAGTGTTTGAATTAGCATTGTCACAGTAGGCATGGGCACATGGGCATCTTGCCATCCATGACCAACAATTCAGTCAGCAGTCCGTCCCCTGCACTGCTCTAGTTTGGGATTCTCATCAGTCTGGTTGTGTTTTGTGCTGTGCTCCCAGTCTGTCACTTGCAACTTTCCCTGCATTTCCATATGGGTTCTTCATTGTGAAACAAATTGAAAACACTTTTTACTCACCAGCTCAATTTGTCTTGACATTTGGTGGACCATACAAAATCCGTTAATACAGTGAAAGATTGCAAGTGACATCAGTTATGTTCTCATTTACTAACATTACTCATAAGCAAACTCAGAGAAAAACTGTTATTCATTCATTTTATTATTATTGTTTCATGTCATTATTATCAAATGGGTATCACTGTTATTGTGAATGTTCTTCTCTCTTTTTGGGGGGTTTCGTGGTCAATTTCTATTTACACTTTTGTGCAAATATGCAAATAAAGTTTGACCTGAAGCTCCAGGCTTCAATTTGCTATAGACTTGGCATATGTGATAATTTCTGTTCTTCCTTATTTTATGAGGAAATGAAAAATGCTCTCAGTTTCATATTTGTAATGCTGAAACAGTGACAAAACAGCTCTGTATAGACATTTCCACAATTAGAATAACAGAAATATCTTCACTTTCAATCATTAAAACAATTCTTTATATTATTTCTCTGTTTTTGATAAGAAACAATACATTAAAGAAAGTGTGTGTGTGTGTGTTTGTTTGTACATGTATATTGTATGTAGACAGTTGATGGCTTACTAACTCAGTGAGGAACTTGCTTCTATGAATACAGGCTCTGCTGAAATATTCAGTCTCTGTGTCGAGCAGAGTTCCACTGCTATGCAAATGACTGCTTTGATGTTTGTGTTTCTTTCAGGTGCATGCTGGATGCACAGTTGGAATTTGCTGTTTGATGAATGTCATGAACAGTAACAATACTAGTGTTTTTGTGGATTTCAAAATTGTTTCGTCTTTGATGGGTAACATATTTAGATCACTAACACAGAATTTGCAATTTTTAAATTAAGATTTAAATTTACTGTTTGCAATGTTACAATTTGATAGTGTTTGTGACATGAGTGTGTTAGGGTCCTTCTGCAAGTGACTACATCAGCTATTTGCCCTCGGTTAAGGAGAACACCTTCCTCTTACTGACCTTCGTACTTCCAGGCCAGAGGGTAGTGTGTAAAGTGGAAATACTTCACATTCATAACCTCCTTCATAACCGCCTTGTATAGTCTTTTGCTAAAAGGGGATTCAAGATTAACAATTAACATTTTACATAGCAAAAGTTTTCATGTTGATTTTCATTTATAAATTTGGAAATTCTGATGATATAGTCACTTCCAGGAGTTCAGTTTGTCAACTGCAAGTTTTGTGAAGTGTTTATAGCTTAACCATACATGTAACTTGTCTTCCTATAGGTTATATTTGGTATGACAGGTTTCATGTTAGACCATGTTAGTTCTAGTACAGATGTTGTCCCACCCACATCGGCCAGTGCAGTATCTATGCCAGTGCTAGTTGATGCTGTGTGGAGGAACACCTGGCATGTCCAGTAACTGTCCTCAACAGAGCCTTTGCTCAACCTGCCTTGTACAAGGAGGAGCCGAGGAACCCTGTGGTCAGGAGCCTGCATTTTGAGTGCTACTAACAGATACTCCATAAAAGCATGCATGTTTTGCAACCTTGGCATTTACATCAAAAAAGAAGTTTGGTGTTTGAGTACAAAGAAAAGCATGGTGCATGTTCCGTCAGTGTTCAATTAACTTATATGTATAGGTCTTGGGACATGGTGATTAATTAAAGAAATATGGAATTATTTCTAAAATCTGCTTCATTGAAAATGTAGAAAAGAACTGTTTTAATTTCTTATTTTAATTGGAGAGAACCTAAATGAATTAAATGTGACTTAATATATGTAATTGATGAATACAACTTAGTTTAAAATAAATGTCCCAAGACCTGTTGTTTTCTGGACATTTATGGAATTGACCAATGGCATTAATCTCAATACAGGCTGCCCGTAAACTCGCGATCACAGAGGTTGACCTTGAGCGTGCAGAGGCTCGTCTTGAAGCCGCAGAAGCGTGAGTATCTTTCAGCATTTCATAAAACTCCAGCTCTGATTAGTGAACATGTCTTGTATTCTCAGACTGCTCGCAAGTTGAAATTGTCTGAGGAACAAATCGAACGCTTGGAGGAGATGAGCGAGGACTACGGGAGGTTGGTGAGATCGTTGGTGGCAGATACTATATGCTTAACGGCTCAATCGGCTCAGAGGGCCTGGTTGACTCTGTATGGTGTGTTGTCTACTGTTCATTGTTACCACATTATGACATAAATGGGTGTCTGACATTTTTCTTTTGCAATTAGTTTAATCTCCTGGATACCAAGTTTGTTTTGGCCTGATGCACATTTTCAAAATGGAATGTTGAGCAAGAATTGCGTGACACTGGATCTACCTCCAACTGTAAGAATTACACAGATATGTAGAATATATTTAATAAAACTACACAATGGTGTAAATTCAGGTGCAAATACTTATGCAGTTTCAAAAGTAGACACTGTCAAATGTAGTCAGAAATGTGTTACAAAAAAAGTAAATTTTGCCACTTTGATCATACACCGTAAAATGCACTGACTATTTTTTGTATTTGGCATATCAGATGGATTTGCATGCCTATGAATAATACATTCAATATGCAGAGTGGCTAAGGGTGGTAAGAGGCATAAAGATAAGGGGGCATAACTCTGCTCTGTTTAACCCTATGTCATTGTAACTTGGGGATAACTTCCCTTATTACTCGCCCATGGTAGATATCACTGTTTTATAATTTTACAATGTTATGACATACTGTGTAATAACGTCACGTGATTATGATGTCAAAGTGGTTTACAGTTATGACGTCACAATGCTAATACCTCTGTCACAGTAGTATTAGACCTTGCTTGACTCGCGGAAAGCTGAGAGGCATCACATTCGTTGAATTCTTAGGAAAGAAGTACACATCATAGGGACTATGTACAGTTTTGTTTAATCTTCTAACGCTTATCTCAGATTAAAAATATTTTGTACAACACTAAATGTGTCAATTTCTTATTAGCAAACTTTTCAACAACAAAAAATGAATAAATAAAAAAATAAAAAAATTATGACCCGGGTTCGATCCACCACATGGGTACAATGTGTGAAGCCCATTTCTGGTGTCCCCTGCTGTGATATTGCTGGAATATTGCTAAAAGTGGCGTTAAACTAAAACTTTCACACATTCAAAAATAAAAAGAGCTGTTGACTACTTATATGTTTAACAAAGCAAAATGTAGATGGTGGAGGTGAGCTCCTGAACCATTGGTGCTGCTTTTCTTCATATCTTTTCACTCTCACGCTCCTCACCTAGCTTATTATTTATTTTAATATAGACACAATCTAGCCAGATGGTTAGATGCCCACCACTTGGTTGCGTTATCAGATTTCTTTGTGTTTCCTCTGCTGTCTCTGCTTCACTTCTTAGTTCTAAATGTGATAAAAGGTCATGAATTAATATTTGGTCTTTTCTTGGGGTGGATTGGTGGGATTTTTCGTTTAGTTTTCTTAACTATGATATATTATTTATTATTAGAAATTTTGCCGTTAACCAGGTGTAAAGCCATAAGTTTCAAGCTTGTGTAGACTAGTAGAGGTATTGAGTTTGCTTTTCCCGACCATGTTCAGTGAGAGAAAGTTTACATAAGATGCATGGCACTTCTGCATGAAACTTACCATTGGTAAGAATAATAAGAGGGAAATGTTTTGGAGTAGTTTTTCAACTAACTACGCTGAGAACTGTTGATCCCTATTTATGTCCGTCTTTGGCAAAAACAGACCTGTGGAAAGCGTAGAACATTCATCTGTGTCTGCTTAATCATTCTTACTGTTCCTCTTTCCTTTATGTAGCACTGCTGCATACACACCTGTCCTTCTATCTCACCTGTGAATCTTCAAGTGCATGTGGTGTTGCGTAGCTTGTGATGGATTCAGTCTTGTTTGGTGCATCTATCTGTTAAGCACAATGAATCTTGCAAAGACCAGCTTCAAAGATGTAGTTTGATGCACTTCTGTTAAAAACCCATCTGGTTGATGTTTCATTTCAAATGGCATCTTTGAATTAATGAGCACTTTGAAACTGGTTGACTTTGTAGTTAAGAATTACCAGTGATCTTTCCTTGATAATTAACTCATACAAGAATCTGTCCAGTTGATATTACATTTTTAATTATCATATAGTGATTAAGAAATCAAATTGACAATAAGGAAGTTTCAAAAAGCTCCATGTATACGTTTATGGGATATTAAATTATCTCCAAATTTGCTTGTATTTTCCCTTTACTTGTCAAAGTGATGATGAAAACTGGGATATTATGATCGTACATTACTGTTCCATTGCCTTGAACGGTTAACCCTTTATCTTATTGTCAAATTCTTACTGTGTTCAGTCTTTCTGATATTAAAAAGATCCAAAAGTACACATTCCAGAACGTCTCCTCAGACCTCATTTCAGTTGCTGGTGATATGGAACACAGAAAAAATTGCTGAATAAGTGAAATGTATAAAACACATGAATTTACTTTTCCTAGATTTCATCATGAAATGGTCTTGTTATTGACTTGTTTTTCAATATCCTCTCATGTTCATGGATGGACTGATATGTTCAGTTTAGTTTGAGAATGAATTTAACATGTTTTGTTAGCAATTAGGTTGCATGACTAATTTTGCGTGTGTGTTTGCTGTTTGCTTTTGCAGGAAGTACAAGCATTATGAAGCTGAAGTTTCCTCTCTAACCACAAACATTAGATCGTTTGAAATTAATGAAGAGCAGGTAAGATTAGCCCTCTCCCAGCTAGATGGCTTGCACATTGGTTACATCATGATGCATTAGTTTCTTTCCATGCATCAGTCCCTATATTGCTGTTCATCCGTCTACCATGATCTGCGAAAGAAGTGCACTGCGTTTTTGTTGGCGTTAAATTTGTTACAATATGGATGTCTTCAAATTTGGCATGTCTGTTTGGCCAGCAACATGCAGTAGTGATTTCAACATTGTTTTCAGTCAACTTTGTGCCACTTTATCTGCGTTTGTACTTTGCTCTTTTTTTTTTCCCGTTTGTCAAGAAAGTACTAATTTTGGAGAATTTGCAGCAGCTGTGTTGGAGATACTCAAGTTGGGAAGGATTAGTTTATGCCCCCCCCCCTGCCTCGCACCATGCTGGATACTTTGACACTGCCGTCAGCAGCCGCATCATAGGTATAGGAATCGTCAGTATAGGGACTGACTGCTATGTGGGTGGTTATCGTAACAAACTGCAAACCACCCTAGCTCACCGTGTTTGTTGGACAAGGCTGGGTTTGAGTGTTGCCCGCTGTGTGACTCATGACTTGGTGATCAGTTGGTCGCATGTTTCTGGTCTGCGCCCCGTACATCCATACGTGCGTCCCTGTTCCCAATGTGTTCGTGCGTCCGAATGACGTCTGCCGTACGTACACACTCACCTTCATCTAACACACCCAGTAACAACCCCTTTTTTTATCCCATTCCAGCCAAATTTATGAGCTTGACGAGGAGCTTCACATAGTGGGTAACAATCTCAAAACCATCCAGGTCCAACTTGATCAGGTAAGCTGGAGCTAGGGCTGGTGCCAGGGAGGCAGTTTGTACTCAAAATCTAATGTTAAGCTCTGTATTTCAGGAAGATTCTCGAGCTTGAGGAGGAGTTGAAGGTTGTGGGCAACAATATGAAATCACTGGAAATCAGTGAACAAGAGGTATCACCATAGTTGCATGGTGTCCAACCGTCTGCCTGCTTACAGGCATCAACGCATGTGTTTACATACCAGCAGAGTGCTAGATATCTGCTGACCGCAGTCAATCATGCAACTTTGCCGCACCCCATTCATACCCAGTAATTTATTTATTTATGTCAAGGACGGAGATTTTGTCTGCAAGAATTTTCGACATGCTATTTTTATGACCAAGTGACCGGTAGTTTAAAAATTTGCTCTTGATCGCCTAGTGTCTGGTGTGAACGGGTGCTCAATGACCAACCCACTGGTGTGGAATTATTGTATTGCATGTATAGAAATGTTTCCCAGATGAATAATATCAGGATCTTGCCCTTATCACCCATTTGCTTAAGAATAGCTGAGTAGATATTGCTGTCCTACTAACTTGGTTTTAATATTTCTCCATAGTACATAATATTGTAGCTTAATGACAAATCTCAAATGCCGTTTTACCTGGAAATCACTCTGGTATCACGATAAGGATCATTGATAAGGAATGCCTCTTCCGTACCATTTGGTGCCTACCATCAGTAACAGTAGATGTGGAGATTCCATGTTGGCTTGTAGGCCACGTGGAAGTCACACAGACACTAGGACGAACTGAGGAAATCTGGACAGAAATTGCCAAAAAGGCTGTATTTGGTTGGTGTAGCTGCCCGCTGACTGCGAGTAAGCAAGCGTTTAGATCTTCTCTCAAACTGCATGCTAGCTGAGTCAACTATTTTGATATTGGACTGAAATATGTGAAGATGACAACCTGCCAAAAAAAACCAACTAAACCTTAAAACGGCCCATCCAACAATGTCCCCCCATCACTTCTCAGGAAAGCTGTTTTTAATTGCATGTGCATTCACAGTAATTTCATATGAAAGACATTTCAACAATACATAAGTTATTTGTCAGTATATTATTGCCACTTCCGTATGTAGATCTAACCGTGTGGATTTTGTGGAAATTGTCCTAACATGCATGGAAGTGAATTACTAATATTGTTAAGTGTAAAGTTAATGAATCTGTAATGGTACAGTTTCCCATCCCACCTGCCTGGCAAGCATGCAGCAGGATAGAGGGCAGTGGTGTTTGGCACTGTGCCCAAACTACAGCTGCAGTGCTGTCCTTTTGCCTTGCCATCTGTGACAAGTGAGAGCAGGCTAAAGCACCACTTCTAGGTGACCATCTCACACGAATGTTTCATGTATTAACCTGGCCCTCTCCATACCACTCACTGCAGCTTTGCTATTATTATCTTCACATATTTCAGACAAAGAGTTGCAGCAAATTTAACATTACCAAAGGAAATTATTTTCACATCACCTTTCCGAGTGTTCAACACACTAAATGTATGGATTTCCTCAGTTTGTTGTATCCCGTTATTTTTCTACACTTTGTTAATCTCACATTCAATCATGTAATGATTGAACTGAACATTGGAAGGTGTGTCCTGATAATTTAACCACTTCAGGTTGCGTTTCACATGATCAGATGAGTGCGCATTTCTAAGTGCTGTCTGGTCAGTGTGGATTGAAATGTTACTGATGTCTTTGTGACACCAAAAGTGCCCTGATCAAGCTCCTTATTTCACAGTCAACCCTCCCAAACCGTGTGGTAGATGAACAGGAGGAATGTGCTGTGCCTCCTAACTCATCATGATGTCCGGTGTTCGGGGAGAATGTTTAACATGTTCACCATTTACAGAATCTGATGATCTTCGTCTTAAATGATTCCTGATGGCCTCTTATCTTTTTTAACTGTAATTCCAGCATATATGTCTGTTTATGTATCTAAGTTACTATTCACTTATATTATTGTTCTGATGTTAGTGATGTAGAGGTGTGAATGTACATGTAGTGTAGTGTGTTGTTTGTGTAGTCTGTTTGCGGGCTGCCAACCCATGGGAGGGAGGTTGTGCTCTGAGACCATGTGTGGGTGTGTTTCAGGCATCTCAGAGAGAGGACAGCTATGAGGAGACCATCCGTGACCTCACACAGAGACTCAAGGACGTGAGTACTACCTCACTTGTACACACCAACAACTTTTATGCAAAATCTAGCATTAAATTTTCTCAAGAGAATCAACTTCTAATATGTTTAAAATTATTTGAAAAGAAGATTGTAAACTATTCATTCTTTGTAATTTTTAAAGAAACGTGATTATAAATTTTGATAAATGTTTACTTTTATGCCCTATTACTTTGTTTCTGCCCATGGTGGTGGGATATTTGATGTCATTTTGTGATTAAATGAACCCCCTAACCTTCCCATATGAATACTGTTGGAGCTGGGATGAGTATGCCCTTGGAAAGGAATGCAGTAGATTGAGCCACATGCTTAGCAGCATTTGTCATCAGGTGTGGAAACCTTTTGGGATGGGCAAGAACCCCTGTTGGGTAGTGTGTAAGCATAGTAATGAAGCAAGCACTCCCCATTCTCTTCTGCTAGGCTGAGAACCGGGCAACTGAGGCTGAAAGAACTGTATCCAAATTGCAAAAGGAAGTCGACAGACTTGAAGGTATGGCTGCAGCCCTGCATCTTGCCCCCAGACTAATAAGAACCAATGTTTGTCCCTCTACTAATGTATTAGTTTCAGCATGCTGGTCTGTATACCATCATAGCATCATTTTCATCGTGCCCCTCATAGGCAGTAGTGGACAGTGGACCAGCATTGGCAAGGAATGGGTGGTGGCGTCTGGCGAGCATTTGCTGGCAGCATGTGACAGCAGAGAGACATACCTGACATCTAACCTCCCCACTTCCCCAACCCATCTTCCCACCAGCCCCACTTTAGCTAGGCTATCTTGGCAGCTACACACCTGGCTCACCAACAACTCACGGCACTGTCTAGTTCTCTTTTTTTTTTTTTTTTTTTTTTTTTATTACCATATCTTATTTGCATGTGTTGATATTCTTGTTTTTGGCTGGTTTGACATGACAGGCTGAAGCAACCTTGGAGTTGACTGTGCGTGAGAATCATTCTCTACAACATACGGTAGATGCAATGGAAGGTATGTCTCCTCAGTGGCCGCCTCTTCCACTGTCGTACCTGCTCACTCCACATTCTGATAGAAAGGCATCGTTCACTGCCACAATTGTAATCTGGCTAATATTTTAAAGCAACTCTAAGATTATCTTTAAAAAAATTGTAAGCACTTCATTGGCTTTCATTGTTCTAAGTATGAGGTGGGTGTAGTGCCGTGTTAAAAGATCTGACTTTCTCTTTTGGATGGTTTAGTTTGTCTTGAGCAGTTACCCAAATGTAACACATGATTGCAGAACTAAATTCTTATATTCTTTCAGAAGTTGTGGCAATTCATGTGAACTTCTGATTTTGATTGTGTCATTCAAAAAGAGCACATCAATTTAGCTTGAATTGAAAGATTCTGAACTAGAGCTTGTACCCAAGAGAGGAGGTCTGTGAAGGACTGATCAACCACTTAACTTTTCTTAATACTTCTTCTTCATCCTTATATTCTTCTTTGCTCTTCATCATTAGTTGTTACTGGTAGCTAACCCTATGTTTTCCACCTGTTGCTGTCTGTCCTGATATCAGGTATGCCTTTCTCTCCTACACCTAACACCCCACCCATGACTGGAACTCTCATAACTCCATGAATAGATATGCAAATCATGACAGTTCAATTCCAGTAACCCTTTGTATTCACATAAGTGTAATCCTTTTACACACCATATACATATCATCATTTACATTTTTGTTTTTGTTCCGGATCTAGTGTAAATGAAGCATGGATGCTTGCAAGTTTTTTTGTCTTGATAAAAACATGTTTCAAGATAATGATTACTACTTTCAGCTATTTTGTAGTATAGCTGACAAGACTGCATGGTTGTTTAGTAGCTATGACGTCATGAAAAAACTAAGAACTTGCTCCTTGAAATGGTGTAATATATACATTTTTGTGACGTCCATTTAGTCTGAATAATTGATTTACGCTAGAGTGTATGCTTTGAAGATTGATGGTAACTGGTGTGAAGCACATTAGATTTCCGCTAGACTTTTGATATCCATACTCATACTAAGAGTTGTATCAGCTGAAGATCAAGTTTCAATGTCTAGTGGAATTTCTAATTTCATGAGTTTTACTAATAGTATATGAAATGTTTGTGTTTTTGTGAAAGGTACTGATGATTTTGAGTGTGAAGTTATATTTTCCGTTTTCCTTTCCTTAATAGACATTTTAGAAAGAATTCAATGAAAATCATCAGCACCATTCAGTGAAGTTTGAAGTGATTACCTTTGAATGTAGAACTGGGGGATTGGAACATAATTGAATATTGTTGCAGCAAAAAAATATATTTACTTCATTTGAAATTGACAGAAAACACCTAGAACATCTTCAGAAATCAACAGATGAAAGTGTCAGAAAATGTCAAACTTAAATCAAGCTTTTGTTATATAAGTTGTGTGTGCGCATCTCTGAAATGTCCATGGCATGTGAGTTAACTGAATCCTCCAGTTCTTGCTAACCCTATTAGATATCAGTCAACCATGCAACTGGTGGCTGTTTGTGCATGATGTGCATGTGTTTGTGTGTGTGTTACAGACGACCTAAATCAGCAGACGGAAAAATACCAGGCTCTGAAGCTGGAGATGCAGCAGACACTCGCCGACCTGCAGGACATGTACTGACCCCCTCCATTTTTTCCTCAAGTATTGCCATGTGCCTCAAACCCACTGACAAAAATACAGCTTCATCTTTGTTATATTATTATTGATTGAATGCTATAGTCTTAGGCTCCCACTATGTCATTCATTTGGAAACTAAGGAGTTGTCAGGAGATCCCCTTGCTGTGAAAGTAACATTGGCAGAGTAGACAAAAATATGATGTGACATCACTACCTCTCTAGTGCCTGCCAGTGCTTCTGATTATTTGTATGAAGAACTCATTACATATAGTATATAAGTAAGGATCTCTGACTTTGTTAAATTTTGGATATGGATGTAACACAGATATTCATTCATCATTTACCTAATGAAAATGCAACAAGAAGACGTGAAATATGGCCTCTCAGTTACTGTTGTGTCATATATTACGTACAATGTGTGAAGCCCATTTCTGGTGTCCCCAGCCGTGATATTGCTGGAATATTGCTGAAAGCGGCGTAAAACCATATTCACTCTCACTATATTTAGTAACTTTGGTAATTGTTCATGGGTTTGAGGTGCACATAGTCTAACCAAGTTTTATTATGTGATTGTTAATTTGTGTTAAACCATCTTGAATGAAGCAACATTTAAATGCATTGCATGAATTTGATGTGTTTAATGTATAGATTAAAAACTAAAAACTAACCATCCAAACATCATAGAGGGGCACAGACCAAGCCTTAGAATGATGTCAAGTAACATCAATTGTACATTTAGCCACCATTTTGTAACTTGTCAAAGATCAGTAAAAAAATCCATCCCTGTATGATTCCTATGTCTGATATAAAGTCCAGGAGGCTGGCCAGTGAGAATTGTATAGTGATCTAGTCTAGTCATGTTACAGAGGCCATGTGCCCCAGTGATCTTACAAATGTTCTTGTAGTCAAGAGGTGATTGTTTGTTATAAAGTAGTCATTGTTATATAGGTTAAGTGTCATGAGTTATGAAAGCTTAATGTCTGACTGGTCTAAGTTGCAGTCACAAGTATCAGGTTATGGTATAGTGATTGTTTCATAGGTTATGGGACAAGTTATGGTTGTTTAAGTCCAGTTTGAGACTTAAATCCTCAATTTAAGCAGTTAGAACTTGCACTTATGAACTGCAAATGCAACCGCATATTTATACCAATTTGCACCCAGTGCATGTTAATATTTGCTGTTGAAAGAATCTGGACTTCAACAAAATGAGGAGGAACTGGCTTGCAGCAGTGACTCAGATGACTATAAGAACATTGATTTAAATGACTATTACTGTTCTTGTCATGAAATAATTTAACGTAAGATACAGTGGACATTAACAGACCCAAATTAAAATTGTGTTATAACAGTGAAAATACCAAAACACAGCAGGTGCAATGTGTTCTTGTCTTGTGCAACTAAGTTATTACCGAAGGTTGGACTGGGTGAAAATAGGTTTAATTTCCTTAAATTGTGATCTGGACTATTGTGAAGATGAGACAGAAACATTGTATTAATTCAAGTTTGGCATTACCAGCATGTTTAGAGAGGGGTATGGGAATGGCTTGATTGGTAGTTTTCATCTCCAGATAATTTTAAGGGTGCTTCAAGTAATTATCATTTCGTTTGAAAGCCCTTGAATCAAAATTCAGCATTGATTAGTAGTGACATGTACATGAACAGCAGTATCATAAATTGAATTTGATTAGAATTAATGTGTGTAGTATGGTGGCGCTCCTCATTCAGACCAGGAATTGCCTCAAGTATGCCTAGTGATTGTCACAAGTGAAATGTTAAGTGACTGTTGTAGAGGCCATGTATGTGTCCAGTGATGTTGCAGAGGTTAAGTGTGTGACTAGTGATGGTTATGACGGCTTAATGTCAGATTGGTGAGAAGTCCTCAAATTGTTTTCAGACAAATTGACTAACAAAATAACATGGAGATTCTATGCTGGCTGCCACAACTCCACCTGAAATATTATTGCCTGTTGTTTTCAGATGAGCTGCTTGCCGAGAAGGAGAAATACAAGGCCATTAGTGACGAGCTCGACCAGACTTTCGCAGAGTTGGCTGGTTATTAAAAGTGTTTTCTTCCCTCTATCAACCGGCCATATGGATTTTGTAGGCTATTCAAAAATTTATCAATTTTTGGAATCATGTTGTAAAGTTATCTCTCGGTGCCTCTTCTCTTCTGCCTGTTATTTTGAGTGCGTGAAGCGAAAAAATGATGACCAACGTAAGACGTGTATACATATTTCTTGCTTTCACTTACACCTATCATGAATTGTACAGAGTTACTAGCATACATGTTGGGGCCCTGCCAAAGGTATTGGGGTGACATTATGGGAGATTTGCAGTGGTCTTGGTACTTTGATTCCTTTTTCGAATCATCATCCTCTTCTACACCATGTCAACTGGGTGTCTGCTTGAGCTGCCATGTATACACGGCTAGTGGTAATCATCTCAGCAGAAGGGAAGGTAACTCAGAACTGCCGATGTCTGGATATGTCTGCACTGCATGTACGCCTGCTATAGTGTCCCTATATATTTTTGGCGAGACTTGTGTAAGTAGAAGTGGGACAATATGGACTTGATATTTCGCCGCTGGTTAGGCTCTGAGGTCACGTGATAGCAAGCTAGGTCTCCAAGTCCAAAGATGAGAAGAATGTGGCGTGTGCTATCTCATGACCATGTCTTGTTCGACCACTGGCCACCGAGGGCTGCGACACAAACTTGTCAAATTTTGTCTTGTACATTTAAGAAACAACCAAATCCACCATGTTTGATAGACACATTAGAGTAGTAAATTTGCATGCGATCAAAGATCACGAAAATTTTATATATGTATTTATTTTGACCCAGATAAATTTATTATAATTTTCTTTATTTCCCGTAAATGCTCTTCTTTCCACGGCTAATGTCTCAGCTATCTTCTGAGATCCAGATCTGCTGATAATGCAAATAAGTTTCCATGCTGTCATGTAACTTTATTTCGTACAAAGTGAAATTGTGCATTTAATCCAAGAAATGTGTACTTATTGACTTGTCATAATGTATATTGAACAATCCTGAAAACAAAAGACAATTTTGTACTTTGCTTGTAGTGGACTTCCACATAACACATAAGACAATTGTATCAAGTTACACATAGAACCCTAGCCATGGCTTGCTGCATTTCCTGGGTATTGCCATTGTTTTTTAACAATAAAAAAATCATCTACTTCCCACCAAGAGTCTGTGATTCTTTCTTTGTTATACCATCAGGACTCTGGCTGATGTGACTTTGAAGCAGAATTTAGTTCCTTTCCTGAATGAATAGATCAGGTATATATTACTTTTTTGTTCACTGTAGTAATACTGCTTTAAGTGCACTAGAAGTGTTTATGGCAATGAGAAATATTCCAAAAATGGACATGTATCTTCTGACACCTCAAAAGATTTTAGTGTAATTTTTTTGCTGTTTTGATCGGGTATTTTAAATAAAATCTGGTGGGGTTTTTTTTAAATTCTCTAATTGATACCACTAAATTGTCATAACCTTGCAGTCAAAGGAGATTGTAGCCAGAATCCTTGGATTTCTTACCTGTATGGAAAATTAAATATCATGAATAGCTGTGGTGCTGAGCAAGAAGGTCCGCGAAGAAGGGTTCCAGAGAAATTCAGGTGAACAGATGCCTGAAACTACCATTTCATGAACTATAAGGCATGGCGTGGTAGAGGCTATTGCCCGGTTCCTTCTTTCATCAGGAAACACTGATGTGGAATAGGTGAACACAGTAACACTGTACACTTGATACTGCAGTCTCTTGTGAAGGAAGATGTTATTGGTTACATCACATGAAGGATTCATTTCGTTTTATGTTTTTGATGGGAAAAGAAGTGCTTTTGAAGCAGTATTCTGACGTGTATTCTCACAGCAAAGGTGTGATGTCAGTGTGTTCAAGTTCGAAACTGAAAGGGGTTGTGATTTTAATAGTGTCCTCGTGAAGTATTAAAACTCTTGTAATTGGGGAAACTGAGTGAGGTACAACACAGACGACCGCAGTAAAATATGCGGAATCATGGATGTGAACATGAGATATATATACACACGTGCGTAGCTAAACGATATATGTAACGACAGTAAGCGTACATACACCTTTATGGGACGGGGCATGTTGGATGAAGGTGAGAACCCACCATTCCTATGCTTACGCCGCGATAAAGTCCTAAATATAAACGTCATTCTCTACGAAACTGCACAATTCAGAGAGGACAGTACAGAAAACAAAATCACGTCCGTCCAAGAAAAATATTCATTTTCCCAAACTACAACATGTGAATGAACAGTTTATACTTTTTCAGCACTCCGTGAACAGTATTAAACTTGCAGCACTAGTTTGAAGTAAGGTACCTATAAACGCCCAAGTAATTTACGTTCATGGGTAACTTGTAGTATCAATATAAACCGCGAAAATATGAACTCTTTTTGTTCTTGTTTTCATTCAAACATCGAATAAGGAAACAATTCATTCATCCGAAAATCGAAAAGAATGTGTACTCAGTAAAGCATATTTCACACTGTTGACACCACATGATACCTATTCAAAATCCAGAATTAACCACGCATACCACATTTACATAGTATCAAAGATTAAAATCAGAAACTTGAAAATAAAACTAGCCCTTTCGCGAAAACTCCATGTAATCATACAAAATGGGAATGAATATATGTTGGCTTTAACTGTTAAACACCTTTACCATGTTACAGTTCTACAGCGTGACGTATGTTGAAACTTACGTTCTTGTTAAATCCAAAGACTGAATTTTTATCAGAAACGACAAAGATGACAAAAACAGTAAACATCTTTGCACCAGATATGTTATCAAAAGTGAAGTGAAAAATATTCTGGAAATATGGCCTAGACAGTCGTGCAACATTGAGATATCTACAAGCAACAATCACACAATGAGACATTTGTTTACTTTGGATTCATACTTATTTAGAATATTGGCAAAACGTACTGTTCAATTTCATCAACATATTAATCGTTTTATCATCTTAATTGATGATTCCGTAAGAAATATTCGTATGAACTTTACGTAACACCTTTAGTATATAATTTACGTCAGGGTGAAAAAGTGGCATGGACGACAATGGAATCCATAGAATGAGCATTGCTCTGCTCGCAGACATTCAAACGGGTAACACATGGATTTTTTGGGTTCCCCATGTAACGCCATAGATCATTCTAACTGTAACATATGTTATATTTTGGGATGGCACTTTATTAGTAAAGTACAGATTCTATATAGTACTTTTGTTGAGTTGAGTCCCATCCGTGATTCGAAACCACACCCTTAGAGTCCTAATCGCCAGCACACAAAGTCAGCCGCCTATAACCGGCTCAGCCACCGCGACTTCCACAAAAATGCAAGTCGGACAACTGATATAGTCTAGACTGCGGACTTTGTGTACCCCTCTGATAAGTGCTTGCGGTTAGGTTAACGACTCCGAGGATGTGGGTTCGTATCCCGGATGGGACTCAACCCAACAAAAGTACTAGAATCTGTACTTTATTGAGAAAGTGTAATCCCAAATATAACATGTTACATTTAATCACTTTCTAAATGGAATTGTGTAATCATACCATTCTAACTGCTTATTAAACGTAAATTACATTTTGTTTATCTGAAGTGATCGTCCGGGTTGTGCGGTTGTGTTTCTGCGTTGATGCTGTATTAAACTGTAGGACGAAATGTTTCAAAGTAACCAATGGTCCCATAAAGCTTCGCAGCAACGTTACAATATCATCACCATCACGTATGATTACGTTCTAATATAATCGGTCTTTAAAATGAACATTACTGGTGTGTGTTCAACTAACCTGTATCTTTCGTAGACAGAACATGCTTGCTATCTAAGCTATATCATTCCATGCCCTAAATAACACATTCTCTGGTATTGTAACAGTTTCTAGTTTTTAGTTATGGGTAATACAATCTGATATAACGAAAATTACACGAGTGCTGTCGACAATTGTTTATTGCTTACATTGCAATTTTGTATGTATTCACATGCGTATTTAATGTTATTTTTTCATAAACAGTTCCCGATTGCTTTCAAAACTTAACTATATTCGACTCGTGGGAGCGGTGGCCATATTAGAGGCAGCTTTTATTGACGGGTCCGTCACTCACCGACACCAGAAAAACCGTCCCCCCTACCCATGTATGTCAATCCATGCTAGGCATTTGTTTAAATGACTGGTTAGCTTTCTTGCTTTTCGTGTTTCCTATACTTTACTTGTTATTATTAATGTATTTAAAGATAAAAAAGTGCTTTTGGTTTCATGAATCGCATCCTGCAAACTCGACGACTGCAATTGTCCACTTTAATTGAGAATGACTGATTAACGTGAAGTTGCATGGCAACACTCTCTTAGGATGACTGACAGTTAATGTTCATGGTGTACAGTTGGTAAATAATAGCAATTACGTGAATGGTGGCAACAGAGTTTTTATCCTTTGGAATTGAAGTTCATGCAGACAAAGGTCCAAAGTCGGTCGTCGCAATTTCAGTCTTGGCTCCTACCCCTGGCACTGTCATGGTGCAGGTGTGTACACGTGGTCTCGCAATTATATCACGCAAAACCACTACCTGCGTTCATTAAAATGTGGTTGGCCATGGGTACCACATTTCTGATGGGTTTAGGAGATTTTACTCTTGAACATTAGATGCAAAGGGTTACCTCCGATTAAATACAACACAGATAAACATTGTATTTCGCTACGAGAGGTTAACAAGTGCTTTATTTCTTGACACAGCTGCCATCGTTCCTTTTCTGTTTAATGCACGTAAATCACAGGGGCTCGAATCACTGTTTGGACAATATATTTTTTAAATAAAACTCTAGATTTTTGTAACCGTATATTGTTTTTATATGTTATGAGTAACTTATATTTCAAATTTGAACGAAATCGGTGGAGAAATGGAATTTTTAGAAAATTCTCCCGCTACACACATTACATAAAATACACAAGGGGTGAGACTCGAGATGCTAAAAGCCTGATCGAAAACCGGACAGCCCGACTATTTTAACGTGCATTCAATCAAACCTTACGTTTTTTACAAAACAATGTGTTGAGCTTGTAGGCTATTCTTTTGGCCTTCTGCTCATCGTATTCAGTTTGTCTAACAGCATTTCATATTTGACCACTGACCCTCGCATTAGCACTACCCTCCGTTTTGAACAAACGTCTGGCCGCCCTTCGGTAAACATCGACACTGTCCGAAATCTCGGAATGACTCGGAACACAAAACGGCTCTCATTGGTCAATTTCCACGTGTGCGATTATTGCGGAATATTGTTTAGACAGTTGATATGTTTGGAAAACTCGAACATGGTTTTAGAAATTCTTTCATGATGAGTAAAATTAGTTTAGGTGTTAAATGCAATAAAATAGTGCACATGGTGCATACAGCATGAAAATCTAACAGTTTTATAAAAATATCAAGCATGCAAAGCGGAAAATATTTAACTTCTGTAAATTCATGGATTGTTTTTAGATTATAAATGTCAACAACATTTTCAGTTATATCCAATGACTTCCAATTATCAATTCATTGTGATTGTTGATTTAATATTCAATTTTCATACAGTGTCCACAGCATAATAAAACACACACAAACAGTTCATGTGGTTTTTTATTCAATAATACATTTCACCAAAACAGATAATTCAAAATTACTTTTGAAATATGATGATAATAAACAAATACCTAATGCTACCACATACTTTAAATCACATCTTAACAATCTTTTGAAAAAGATAATATCCTATGAAAATTGACTTTAAGAATAATTAAATGCTGACACTTTCATGTTGGCAATGTATAATCATTTAAATTTTCCCTTGTATAGTACAATTTCTAAAATTTGAAAAACTCTTCTAGAAATACTTGTGACTCAAGTTAAGTCAAAGACCTCAAGCATTATCAACTATGAAACCATTAAATATCAATTCTAAATCTCATCTAGTGAGTCGGTCATATATGAATTAAATTTCAACTTCTTAATCATTCCTGTATTACCTTACCCCATTAGTGGCACATGCACATACCTGACTGTTGGTGAATCTGCAAACAAACAAAAATATTCTGAGCTTTATCCAATCTTAAAAAATCTTTTGTTGGTACTAATATAAGGAACTACTGCCCTCCAACCTTCTAACCCCTACCAGGGAAT